AGGGACCCAGCCTCCCTGGGAAACACTCTGGGAAGAGGGATGCAGTCCTCTGCAGCTGTGAATTGCCAAACTTACCCAGGGTTTCCTCTTTGTCCTTCTCTTTGTTTCTCAGTCTTGCCTAGATTTTCTCAGTTTGTTACACTAGATCCTGGCAGTAGGATAGAAAGGAAGTGACTATTGTCTTTGGAGGGGAGATAAAAGACGGGAGAAGATACGACTGAGGTGAGACTAGCCCGCTAGCTCCCTTTCAGGCATGCAGACCTGAGATTCCTCAACTTTAATGTGCAAATGAACCACCTGGGGATCTTGTTAAAGGTAGATCTTGTTCAAGTTCAATGTGTGGCCCAAATTTCTGCCTTTTTTGCCAGCTCCTGCTGATGTCCAAGCTAATGGTCCAGCAACCACACCCTAAGTAGCCAGGTTCTAGAGTCTATGCCAGTGGTTCCCAGCCTCAAAAGACCATTGGGATACCCACTGGAAAGCTTTCAAGAATCCAGATGCTCCAGCCCCACCCCGGGGCCGTTTGAACCAGACTCCCTACAGACAGTGGCCAGGCATCAGCATTTCCTAATGCCTGCAGGTGATTCCATTACCCAGCTGGGACTGAGAAGCCTGCCCTAGACCAGCTCAGAGAGCTTTCCAGGGCACACAGGGTCGGGGAGTGGGGAGGGGACAGGTAGGGCTGGGGATGGAGGACAGTGGGGCCTCAAGGGTCAAGACAGGGTGTCCAGAACTACCCAGACTCCAGGACACTCTCCAGGCTGGGGCCAGGCTGTGCTCTCCACATGGATCGAACCCTTCCGTTTCACCAAGGAGGGCCATCAGACCCCGAGAGCCCTGTGGGTGTGCAGAAGTGATGATCACCCCGTTTACAGATGGAGAGTTGAGGTTCAGAGAGGCCAGACCCCTGGTCCCGGGCACCACCATCCGTCGTGGGAAGCCTCCTGCATTGCGGAAGCTCTAACTTTCCCCTCGCTGATTTTAAGACAGGTGTACCCCCTTCCCGTTCAGTTTCTAGAATTGGGTTGTGTCTGATGAACGATGCTTTCAGGCCTCAAACCAGGCACTAAGGTGATGTGATTGTGACTGGCAGAGCCCATGCATAGGAAGTGTCCATTCACCTGCATCTTATTAAATTGGTAGGCTTACAATGGTGGCATTTCATCTTCATTTGGATCCCCGGTTGTACTTCAGATATCTTTGGAAAGATCAGGAGAGGCTCCTGGTGGAGGCCACTTTCCTGCTCTTGGCTCCCCTGACCTCTGTCCAAGGTTCCCCTCCCTGCTGCCCTCATCTACTGTCTTCCCCTGCCTCCCGCAACGAACTCTCTCCTTCCTTCCAGAACTTTCCCTTTAGGTCAAAGTTCATATGGTCCAGAGAGCCTATGCTTTTCATCTTGGTGTCCTCAGGGTCCAGTACAAGGCCTGGTATCTAGTAGGTGCTTAATGTACAGGCAGCTGGAAGCCGAATGAGGTAGAAGGCCTGCGGTGACCACCGGGCTGAGTGCAAGTGGGCTCAAGAGACGACCCATCTCAAAATGGCCATAGGCCCTAACTGACTAGTTACAACCACGCGCGGTTCCTAAGATTACCAAAAAGGAGAACATTCCCCATGTTCCCATGGTCCCTCACTCTGCCCTGTAACTATGGCCCCCTCACCACCACCACCTTGCCACGGGGTCTCTCCCTCACTGTCCTGCCCACTGCTCCCTCCCAATATATTCAGTATATTTCCATCTCCTTTGTCCTGCCTTGGGTGAATCCTTTCACTGCCTGCACCACCAGCTCCCATCCCCACGTTTGCTGACCACCCCCATCCGATCAGAGTGTCCCACACTTAGTACAAGTTTGTGGAAGGAGGGGGGTGCGGAACTAGCCCCGGGTCCTTCCGGCAACCTCCCTTCCACTCCCGGGCAAAGGTTGCTGCTCCCTTCTTGGCTCTCCCAGAGACACCCCCCACCCCCCCACTGAAACACCTCCGCACTGCCCTGTGTCCCTCCCAAGTTCCCATGTTGAAACCCTCCCCCTCAAGCTGATGGTATTAAGAGGTAGGAATTTGGGGAGGTGCCTAGGTCAAGAGGGTTCTGGGATTAGCGCCTTATATAAAACACCCCAGAGGGGGAGGGAATGAGAGGGGAGGGGGTGTCTCTCTGCCCACACTCACCTTCCCACTTGGCCTGCCCTCCAGCAGCCTGGGAAGTGGATTCTTCCTCCCACCTCCCCCGCCCCCTGCAATTTGCCTTCCTCTCACAGGGCTTTCCTCTCTGGGTGGCAAAGCCTGGCAGCAAGAAGCCGACTTCAGGGTCGGCTCCAGGGATAGAGTTGGTTCACTATGTATTCAGTACCTTCTGTGTACCAGGCGTGGTGTGACCTGGGACAAGTCCCTGAACATCTCTGAGCCTCTGGTTACCAATCTGACCCAGGGGCTAACCCCAGTATATGTGAAACACCCAGCATGTGCCCGGCCGTGAGCAGGTGTCGGGCTCCTGCTCTCTTCTTTCTGTGTCCTTCTTCAGATGCAGAAAGGAGCCCTGAAGGAAGGTGGGTCTGGTATTCCTCACTGGAGAAACTGAGGCCTGGGGAAGACAAACTTGCCCAGGGGAATACCTCGAGCGTGCCCAGGCTGTCCACTGCCTAGCTCCTGGCCTTGACCCTGGAACCAACAGGTTGAGTGCACTTCCTTCCCCACTCCCTGTTGTTGGAGACCCCTGGACCCCAGCAGCACAAGACACAGGCCCACGGGGCACGTGCACTTTCAGCTTTATTTCTTTCCATGCCGAGCAATACAGAGGAGCCGACTGGAGAGTATGGAGAGTGTGGTGCCGGGCGGCGGCGGGGGGGTAGTTCTCGCTGCTTCCTCTGGGACATGGGAGAGGCTGCCCCAAGCTGGAAGACTGCTGGGTTCAGGCAGCCAGGGGCGGGACCCACGATGGAGCTGGGAGCAGAGGGGTGAGGCCTCAGGGTGCCAGGCTGCTTGTGGGTGGGCAGCAGGGGAGTCAGGGACCCACCTTCCCAGTCTGATCTCTGCAGGGTTCCTGGTCCTCAGGCTTGTTCTCCTCCCGACAGAGGGATCAGGCTCCTTCCACAACCCGCAGAGCCTCTGAGTTCCATCTGAGCACCTTCTTCTCCCTGGGGTGCTGAGCCTGGGGCCCCCAGGGCCTGGCCAGAGGACCACCAACTCATGAGCCACCATTTCCGTAGACCTCATGACTCACCTCCTGGCCTGAGCTGCCTTCGCAGGTGACACAAATCCTCTGGGCTCACTTCTTCCCTCCCCCAACAGTGGCATTGCTATTGTGGCCTCAGAGGTCTTGTCAAGCAAAGCCAGCCCCTCGCTTAGGGTCTGGAGAGGTTGGCGTCTGCTCCCCAGGTGGGGAACTGACGTAGGAACTCAGGCCCCAGAAGGACCCTGCCAGGGCCCCTGGGTCCTACACCCCTCCCCTGCCACGAAGGCCCTCCTAGAAGGCTCAGAGCTGCCCTTGGGACTCCTGGTAGACAGTGCCTCTGTGCTAACAGACTCCCTCCCAGGAGTCTCCGAGGAGTGTCGGGGAGACAGGGAGCGGGCTCAAGGGCCCTGAATGGGTGCTGGGGAAACAGTCTTTGCCAGCCTCTGGCTGTCGCTGGAGAAACCCGATGGCTGGGCAGGGCCCCCCAGGGTGGGAAAGCCTGGAGCTTTCCTCTCTGAGAGTCTGGGAGCTGAAGCCAGAGAGGTAGGTGGGCATAGGAGGGGGCCCTGTGGGCAGATCCTGTGCCAGCTGAAGCCTCGGGAGAATCCCGGGGCCAGAAACCAGACAGGAGGGCAAAGGACCCTGCTGAGTCCTTTCAGGTGGCCCATTAGGTCCTGAGACGGAGGCCACGGTGTCACCCCCTGCTTCCGGGCATGAGTGTGCCCAGGGCCTCCCACTCCCCCAAAGACTGGCCCCTTCAGCCAGGCTCTTCCCTCTGTCTTAGAACTCTCTAGACCAAATCAACAATAAACCTTCATAAAAACCCTCTGGCCAGGGTGCCTGGGTGGGTCAGTGGGTTAAGCCGCTGCCTTCGGCTCAGGTCATGATCTCAGGGTCCTGGGATCAGGTCCCGAATCAGGCTCTTTGCTCAGCAGGGAGCCTGCTTCCCTCTCACTCTCTCTGCCGGCCTCTCTGCCTACTTGTGATCTCTCTCTGTCAAATAAATAAATAAAATCTTTAAAAAAAAAAAAAAAAACCCTCTGGCCCACTCCCCTGTTTACAGCCTGGGAGCTCCGGGGAAGTCCTTCCCCTAGAGGTGGCCCCAACCTCCTCCCCCCACCCAAGAGAAAGTTTCGTGCTTTGTGGATGGCCAGGGGCTCAGGGTAAATAAGGCACAGAGAGTGTCAGGTGCTGCTAGGCTGGGAGCCGGGTCCCAGACCCCACCTGAGCCCCGCCGCATGGGGCCCCAAGTGTGCAGCCTGGACCATCAGGGAGGACGTGGCAGGAAGGGAGCTCAGATCCAGGCTCCTCCTCTCCTGGCTGAGCGGGGCTGGGGTCAGGCCCCAGGCAGCTGCACAGGGAGCGAGGGAACAAGAGGCAGACTGGGTCATCCTGGGAGACATGTTGGGACAGGAGTTCTCAGCAGAGATGAGCCTGAGACTGAAAAGCTGGAGATGTCTGTGGGTCCTGCAGTTCCTGATCCTGTCTTCACCAGCCTACCTCTTGGTGTTGCCACCTGTCATGCACGTAGCTGACAACTCTGTCCAGACAACTGCTCATCTTGGGTGCCCAAGGGAGTCCCAGGATGGACGCGGAGCAGCAGCTGAGCCCCTGAGCTGGGATCGCAGCAAGCATGTGGCACGAGGCATGCAAATAACTCTTTTTACACCCTGTCCCCCCACCCCAAAGAAAAGTACAAAAGAGCAAGTCCCAGATCTTGACTCCAGGTCCTCAGACACGGGAGTAGGGAGTGTGCAGCTTCTCTCCTGCCACGGTCCGGTCCCTCTCGTCTCCGTCTCCTCTGCAGGGCTGGTTCCCCCTCCAACAGGCAGTGTATGTGGTGTGGTGGATCGCGGGAGACGGTGGGGATGAGAAACCAGCCAGAGCACGGAGGCCAATACAGGGCCGTGTCCAGGAGATTAAACCCCATTAATCATTCTTGGCGCTTTTTCGCATCTGAGGTGGGCTGACAGTGGGGAGGCCTGGGGGCTTCCCTCCAAGTCGGTGCTTTGGGAGTGCATGGACGTCCCTGTCCTGTCCTCCCGCGGGAGAGGGGGCGCGGGAGCGTGGAGACCTGGGGCTGCCCAGGGCCGCCTCCGCCAGCGCAGCGCCCTGGTCCGTTTCATTTCTTCTGCACTATAACGAGAAGAGCCGTCGTGGCAGCGCGGAGCTCAGAACAGGCCTTCAAGCCATTGTTTGGAGGATTTGGGGTTTTGTTTCCGGGTGGGAAACAGCACCAGGGTTGCCTGATCGGGGTCTCTTGGTGGAAAAGAGCTCCTGCTTGTGGCAAGGAGGCAGCCTTTGCTAGGGGTTCACGTACCACGGGACACCCCCCCCCCCACCAAACCGAGAACCATCGAGGCCTGAATTTTTAAAAATTCCTTAAATCGCTTAAAAAGCCATTCCCTTTGCCAGTTTGAGTTCAGCAGGGGTCATTCATTGGCTGTGGACAAAGTTGTGGCGAGCGTGACAAGGAGGAGACTGAGGCCCAGAGAGGGGGCTCCTGAGCTAATGCCCGCACTGGCGGGTTCCCCCACCCCACGTAGCAGCCCCGCCGCCAGGCCCCCAGAGACCCAGGAAGAAGCTTCATTTCAGACACTTGGACAGTGGGGGATGTGGGTTTTAAACCCAGGGCAAGCTGATTACAGACCTGACCTCTTCTCCCCTCTCCAAAGTGGCCAAATTTGCCCGTGACCCAACCGCTGAATCCCAGGCTTTCCTGGAACTCTGGGTTCCAGATCAGTGCCTCCTTTAAGGACAGGACTGGGAATCTTATTGAAATGCAGATTCTGGGGGCACCTGGGTGGCTCAGTGGGTTGAAGCCTCTGCCTTTGGCTCAGGTCATGATCCCAGGGTCCTGGGATCGAGCCCCGCATCGGGCTCTCTGCTCTGCAGGGAGCCTGCTTCCTCCTCTCTCTCTGCCTGCCTCTCTGCCTACTTGTGATCTCTGTCTGTCAAATAAATAAATAAAATCTTAAAAAAAAAAAAAAAAGAAATGCAGATTCTGATTCAGTGGCTCTGGGCCAGGGCCTGAGACTCTGCATTTCTGACCCTTTCCTGGGCTCAGCAGCCACTGCCGCTGGTCCACGCAGCATGTCTGGAGCAGCAAAGTCTTTAGGGGAAGAGCTTAGACTGACCAGTGCAAGAGGCAGAGAGGCTTGGGGTCCTCACAAGGCGGGTGCATGCAGGGAGGCAAAAGGACAGCGCTGCCCCACAGAGCCCAGACCCTCAGAGCCACACTGGCCCATTGAGCCGCTGAGAGTTTCCTTTGGAAAGGGTGCCCCTGCTTGGTTAACTTCCCTGGGCCAGCTCTGGGGGCTCACAAGAGGGTTACTGCCAAATTCCACGACATGCATTGTTTATGTCTGGTCCCTGCTGGCCGTCTCAACAGGAATGCTTGCAGGGAAAGTCCACCATTCACCACCATTCATCACAGCCATATCTTGGGTGACACTCTCAAGGCTCAGCCAGACACAACTCTGGCCCAGGACCCAAAGCCCTCTGAGCTGGGATAGGAGCTGGCCACCTCTGGTTCCCAGGCCTGGGCTCTTTGCACACCCTTTCCTAATGTTCCGGGCATAAGGCAAGGCAGAAACCCGTCCCACTCATCTGGGTCCTGCCAGGGATGGGGTCGCTTCTCAGAGAGGATCAGCCTGTGTCCCCTACAGGCTCTTACACCGTTTCCACTGCCCCCTCCCCAGGGAGCTGGGCTGCACCCTTCCGTGGTCCTCACCCCAGGCAAGCTGGCTCGCTGAGCTCCACGCGGCTGGATCTCACCTGTGAAATTGACAGTCACGGCCACGATGATGATAATGATCCCCATGATGATGAAGGTGATACTGAGCAGCCGGGCCAGGCGGCCCAGCCTCCGGGCGCCGTCCAGGTCCCCCTGTTGCACGCTACTTCGGGACTGCAGAGAGAGGGTGGCAAAGACCTAAGGAAGGCTGTTCCCAGCAGACTGGGGTGGGGGCACCCCTTGCCTTGGCCTCCAGAACCCACCCAGCCTCCATTGCGGCCTCTCTTCCAGCACCCACCTTGGGGATGGAAGGCAGGCTTCTCCCGCAGAACTGGCCTGGACTCAGGAGGCTCACACCCCTTTTGGGAACACCCCGCCGAGCCTGCCCCTGGCTGGAAGCAGAATCAAGCAGTGCAGGGCACTTGCTCTGAGGACGGTGAGTGGGCAGGGTGACGGGTGGCATGATGGAGCCCGAGGGCCTGGGAGGGTGGGCCGGGGCTAGGCCATGCTGAGCAGGCGGGAGCAGATAGGCCAGGCCTCCCTGGGCCCCTGTCTAAGGCTCACTGCTATGGCCACACTAAGGAGGCCTGTTGGGTTTTTCTGGGGTCCAATGTGCCTGCCTCCTTTCCTCTGTGACTCCCCTCTTCCACACCAGGAAAAAAGCATCATTGATCCTCCTTCCTCCTAGTTTCCACCCAGGAATCACATCCTTGTTCAACCGAGCTGACTTCCACAATCTGAAAGGTTTGAACTTGAGAAGCGAGGGTGTGTGGGGAGCCATGCCAGGCTTTACGGGGGCCCATCTGAATCTTCACTCTTTCTCAGTGAGCTCAGTTTTTCTCAGCCTTATTTAATTTTGGTGAAAGCAGGTAGATGAGCGGGGGAATGGCCAGAAAAGATCTTGGGAGATCCTGGAGTGGCTCAGTAGGGGCTGTGTCCTAAGCATGTCCATGGAGGTCCCACACACACCCCTGCCCATCCCGGTTCAGGAGTCAACCTGCTGGCCAGGGCTGGCCTATGACCTTCAGGCAGGAGTTCCCTAAATGTATGACTGCTTTCGGGGTCTTAGGCCACTTATTTGGTTATTTTATTTTCCAGTTATTGGAGGGTCCTGACTTCTCATCAGAATATAGTGGAGTCCCTTGATGATGGTGGCGGTGTTGGTGGTGACGATGATTTATTGAGTGCTTAGTTTGTGCCCGGCAGCTTGCTAAGGACTGTACCTGAACAATCTCATTGAGGCTCAGAACCATCCCGTGCGGTTGCCAGTGTTGCCCACTTTTAAAGAGGCTGAAGTTCAGGGAAGATACCCTTCCCCTCACTGTTCTCTTCAGGAGGGCAACCCTGTCTCCCAGGTCCTGTCCTTTTCTCCTCACAGAAACCTAACCAACCCCCACCGCACCCCATGTCTCCCTGTCCAAGCACCTCCCAGGACAGAGCCACCTCCTGCCACACTGTTTGATGCCATCAGATTCGCTTCGCCTCAGATCTGCTCCTGGACTTGTGCTCCTCTGCCCACTTGCCCCGTTACCGGCCACAGCCTGGAGTCCAACCACTCGGTCACAATACCTGTCCCTTGCCACCCTACCGATAAGTTTCCTTTCCCGGTCAGTTTCACTGCAGTCCTCCCCAGCTGCCTTGCACCTGCCCTGGGTCCGTGGCACTTCTCACTCAAGCACAGCAGCCTCCTGAAGATCCATGCCCCAGCTCTATGCTCTCTTCATCTCCATGCTGCTCCCTACACCACCATTCCACTCCACAGAGATTTATGCCAGACCCCGTGCTAGGCCCCTGGCATGCGGTCATGGGGTGGGATCAGAGAAGAGGTGGAGAGTCGGGAGCTGATGCATGAGTTCAAGGAGATGACGATGGCTTAGCCTGTGACCCTGCCCAGCATCTTCCATGGCCCCCCACCGTTCCCAGAACAGTCTGAGTCCGGGTTAGCTTTACACTTCCGGATTTTATCCTCTACTCTTCCCTTCCACAACCTCTGGACTCAGCCAGTCTGAACCCCTCCAAGTCTGAGCACCTGCTGGTGCAACTCTCCTGCCCGCCTTCCTGCTCCCCTCAACCACCTGTCCACATCCTCTCTATCCTTTGAGGGCTTCTGATGGGAGAGAAGCAACTGAAGAAGGGGAGAACGGCAAGGTCAGGAAGGGCCCTGGCTATCACAAAATGGAATCTGGATTTTTGTAGGCATTGGTGGGGGGGCTACGACCGGGTGACTCTATAAACGATTTCATCAAAACAGGAGAGGGGCCCCGGGTGGCTCAGTCGTTAAGCGTCTGCCTTCTGCTCAGGTCATGATCCCGGGGTCCTGGGATGGAGCCCTGCATCGGGCTCCCTGCTCAGTGGGGAGTCTGTGTCTCCCACTCCCTCTGCTTGTGTTCCCTCTCTCGCCATCTCTCTCTGTCAAGTAAATAAATAAAATATTAAAAAAGAAAAAAATAGGAGAGAAAAAGATCCAGTCAGAGGGAGAGGCTGAAAAGACCAAGAAGTGACGGGTGCCCCAATGTCCCAGGGCAGCCGAGGGAGATCTGAACTTGAGCACAGGGCTGAACTGCAGTGAGCAGAGGAGAGCGCTGCTGTCCTTGGAGACTGGACAAATGTGGGTACAGGTGGTGTCACACCTCAACAGGTCTGTAGGTGGGTCTGGGCAGAAAGTTGTGAGCGTCCACGCCTCTGGACCTCGGGGTGCCCAGTGACAATGGGCAAGTGTCGTCCAGTGAAATGTGAAAGAGAAGGTGGGTCTGGCTTGAGGCATGGGCGGGGCTCGGGCCGGAGCCCATCCTGAGACTCACAGGTGAACCTGGACCTGGCAAAGACCTAACAAGGAGCAGGTGCAGCCTCCCAGCTCCCTAAAAGGGCAGCCTAGGGAGGGACACAGGTTTCAGAGCCAGACCTCCTGGGGGCCTGTCCCCACCATCCCAGCTGTCCCAACTGCATGACCCTGGATGAGGGGCTTCTTCTCTCTCCTCATCCTCAAATATAATCACGCATGAATTCCTGACCTTTCTAATGTCCCTCAAGCCTGTCCCTACCTCTCCAGCTGACTCCACTGCCCCAGCCCACTCCCACAACAGAGTTCATCTGGAGACTGCACCAGCCTCGTCCTCATGAGGCTCTCAGCAACAGCCTTGCCCCCAGCCAACCTCTTCTCAACAGCCATCAGCCTGGTCGCACGGCTCCGCATAAAATGGATATATTTTTAAAATTAATTATTTCCTACTTTTTTTAATTTTTAGAATTTTTTTTAAGTGAACTCTTTGCCCAACATGGAGCTTGAACTTATGACCCTGAGATTAAGAGTCGCATGCCCTACCAACTGAGCTGGCCAAATGTCCCCAAAGGGACACATTTTTATGCCTCAGTACCTTTTCATGGACTGCTCTCTCTGCTGGAATGCCTTTCCTCTGCTGGAATTTCCTTTCCTCATTTTCATGTTGCTACCTCAGCAGCTCTTTCTCACCTTTCAAGAGTCACCTCCAGCAAAACTTTACTTCGTGCCCACAAGCAATTAATCAGCCCCTCCTTGGGGCTCCCGTAGCATCTTACACCATGCTCTTTTCCTCCCTTCCCACCTTGTGTCATCAGTTCTTGTGTCGGTCTCTTTCCCTAGATTTGAAGACAGGGACCGTTCAGCCTCAAGCTTGGTGTCCCTCTTACGTAACCTAGGGACTGGCCCTAAGAGGCCTTCAGTAAGTATGTGAGGAAGTAAAGAATAAAAGAAGAGAAAAAGAGTATGAGGAGAGGCTGTTTTCTCACTACTGAACTTAGCCAGTGGAATGGGCCAAGTTAATAGAAGATTCATGAGTGAAATGAAGGCAATGGGTACCCGAGGAAAGATATCTGTTATCTGGGGGCGCCTGGGTGGCTCAGTGGGTTAAAGCCTCTGCCTTTGGCTCAGGTCATGACCCCAGGGTCCTGGGATTGAGTCCCGCATCAGGCTCTCTGCTCCTCGGAGAGCCTGCTTCCTCCTCTCTCTCTCTGCCTGCCTCTCTGCCTACTTGTGATCTGTCAAATAAATAAATAAAATCTTTTCCAAAAAAAAGATATCTGTTATCTGGGTATTGGCCCCACCCACTAACCCATGCCACCTCCAGCTCTCTGCATGGCCAGCCCAGGTCACCGAACGAAGGACTTCAACACCAAGGAAACACCTTCCTCTTGGGAAGAAGAAGGAGCAACATACAGACAGGCTTCAGGAATTTCCAGGAAGTTCGGCCTTAGAAATGCTGGGGCTACCTTGAATCATTACCAAGAGACTCATTCTCAGCTGTAAGCATGGCACTCAGTGAGGAGGGACACAGGGTTTGTGATGAGTCCTTCTCCTCACTTGCCAGAGAAATCGTTGTGCATGGGGCAACGATTCAGGACTGTGGAGAGAGGCATACGTGTGGTTGCTTGGGTAGGAGAGGTGAGGAGGGGAAGCGAGAGGGAGAGATGAATTTTTCAGCCACTCTAAACCCAATCCCTCTACTTTATCCACAGAGCCATCAGCCTGTGCATCCCAGTCATGCCTGTTCCTTTGAGCCGGAGGGACAACGTTGAGGAAGATGCACTGGGAATGGCCAGATGACCAAGGTAGACTTGACTGCACCTGCCTTGTTTGGTCATACACATTATGGGTCATACGCTGTCCACATAAACCTCACATCTCTTCTGTAAATCTTAGTTTTCTGATCTGTAAAATGGAGAGAATAGCTGCCTTGAAGAGTAGAGCCCCACTTTTATATCTAGAAGTTACTCACCACCAGCCGACACTCTTTTCCGAAGTCCCCCCATTAGTTCCCAGATGAAAAAACCTGTCCCTCGACCTCCGGGATGGAAGAAGACCCTTCATTACTTTTAATGAGTAAATTACCAGCTGCATTTCAAACCCCACTTAGTGGCATCCTCTTCCCCTTCTACAAAATGGCTCAAGTTGAAGACACAATGATAATTGCAGTAATGGTTGTAAATGACTGTGAATTAATAGATCATTTGTGATTGCAATGGTTGTGGGAATGGTAAGGGAGAAAATGAATTCGGGTTAATAGATCAGTGAGGAAAGGCATTGAAAAAAGTCCGAGAGAGCTGGTAGGACTGGGGAAGGAAGCGGATGGGGTAGGGAAGGTTCTGGGGAGAGCTGCCAGGGGGTGAAACCAGCCAGGGGAGGATGGCAACAGAACTTA